TAGAGAGGTGGATGTCTAAGGGTTCTTCCTAATTATCATATATTATATTGTATTAGATTTATGATTGTACTCGCATCGCATCCTAATTAGTTCTTCCTAATTATCTTGTATTAGATTTATGATTCTACTTGAAGTTGAAAATTTTGGTATTTAATGAAAACAACTACTTTATTGAAAAGGAAATTGGCGTAGTACAATAACTCGAACTTCTTTGCTGAAATTACATTAGACATAAAGAAACTTAATCCTCGTCGATGGATCCCTTGAGCTGCCACAGATGCTCGATCAAATCATTCTTTAGTGATTTGTGTGTTTGCGTGTTCCTGATCCGATGATGATTTTGGATGAACTCAGTTAGAGGCACCGTCTGCACATGAGAAGGTTCAACGACTGGTACCGAATCAGTAAAGTCGAAGTTGTTGTCCAATTGACAATCACGTTCATCTTCAACGATCATGTTATGCATTATGATACAAGCTGTCATGATATCTTTCAGCACACAAGGTTGCCAGAAACGTCCTGGTCCACGAACAATCGCAAATCGAGCTTGCAACACGCCAAAAGCTCGCTCAACATCTTTTCTTGCGCTCTCTTGTTGTTGAGCAAAGTATTTATGCTTGTTTCCTCGCGGTGCTGGAATAGTCTTCACTAATGTGGACCACTCTGGGTAAATCCCGTCGGCGAGATAGCATCCCATATTGTATTCGTGGCCATTAACAGTATAGTTGCACGGTGAAGCTCTTCCCTCCGCAAGTTGTGCGAAAACCGGTGAACGATGTAGAACATTAAGGTCATTGTGAGACCCCGGCAGTCCAAAGAAGGCATGCCATATCCAAAGATCTTTGCTAGCTACGGCCTCCAAAATAATTGTAGGTTCATGAAAATGCCCAGTATACATACCTTGCCAGGCGGTTGGACAGTTCTTCCATACCCAGTGCATGCAGTCGATGCTCCCAAGCATACCAGGAAAACCTCGTTGTGAACCTTCCTCGAGCAGGCGTGCAATGTCTTCATTAGTCGGTGAACGAAGGTATTCCTCCCCAAAGATGTTGATAATCGATCGAACGAACCTCTTCACGCTCTCAAGCGACGTACTTTTACCGATCAACGGTATCAGCGGATGCTCCATATGCGAGCATCCGCATAGCTGCAGTAATCTTTTGAAGACTAGATAGTCCTAACTGTCCAGCACCATTCCTCTTTTGGACGAAGTACTTGTCATGTTCGACGACAGCGTCGTGGATTCGAAGGAATAACGAACGCGACATTCTGAATCTTCGACGAAAATAATGAAGAGGATATGTTGGTGTGTCAGCAAAATAATCTTGGAACAACCGATTGTGGCCTTCCAGTCGGTATCGATGGAGCACGGTACGTCTTTTGTGTTGAACTGAAGTTGAACCTTTCCCTTGTACTTCTTCCTCGACGGCAGCAGCTCCCATAAGAAAGAACGTCTTCATCATTTCATCATCGCTAGAGCTAGATGAGCTAGACATTTTATTCTGGGAGATGATGGGTTGAGGAGAGAAGCCATCGAATTTTATAGGAATCAGTCGGTTGACGGTCAAAGTTTGCGATATCTCGAAGTTCGTGCCCAACCTCGAACTTTGAGAGCTACCTAGAAGACCGTGTGCATTCCCTCGAAGACCGCGGGTTACATCGAAGACCGTGTGCGTTCCCTCAAAAGCCGCGGGTTACCTCGAAGACCGTGTGCGCTCCCTCGAAGACCGTGGGTTGCCTCGAAGACCGTGTGCAACGGTTAGAAATAAAATACAAGAGGTTTAAATATAATTAAAAGTAATGGGTAAAATATTAAAATAGAAGAGGGGTTTTTTTGATATTGTTGGAGCTCCTAACTAGGAGCTTGTTGGAGCTCCATAAAATAAGGAATGCCTCCCAAGGTATAATTTGTTAATTTTTTATTTTGAAAAGCTTGAGAGCTCTTGAGAGCATGCTGACTAGGACTCCCAACTGGGAGCTTGCTGCACTTGATCTTAGTTATCTTCAGAGGCTGGAGCGAATCGTCTCTACCGTGCACGCGCTACCTATGCCTAGCAGTGAGTGGGGCCCACTCCTCGACTTTGAATTTCGACGTTTGCCCTAGATCCACAGTTTGGTTGGTAATCACAAGTTAGAAAACATTTTTTATCTATATACTAAAGTTAGCCGACTCAGCAGTGTTCCTAAGCTACGGTAAATAAAATTTCTGTATATATTGTTTCTAAGCACAGTAGCGTGCACCACTATAGAGCTACAGTATCAAAATTTTCTGTATTTAATATTCCTAAGCACAGTAATTTCAGGGTTGAAAGTAGATAGCATGTATTAGTGGATCTTGGTGTAAAACTACAGTAACCGAAATTTCTTTATATGCTATTCCTAAGCAC